AAACCAAAATACAAGCACATTTTGTTTGTATAATTTTTTCATAAAAATTCATAGAAAACTAAAAATGGGGGTACTTTTAAAATACATCTCCTACGGTTTTTAAGCTACAGCATCGAAAGAATACCATTCAATTCATAAAGATCATACCAATCGAGTAACACAGCCTGATCTTTATTTTTGCCTAAGTTTTTTTTACACGCATTTCCCGTTTTCTTCTCATTTTCTTCCCCCCCAATTTTCAATCTAAACAATGCACAAATCTAAAAAAAGGGCTTCATTGCTCAATAGGCATGGTCTTTACAAATTGAATGGTATATCTTTCAATGCTGTAGCTTGAAAACTGTAATGGATAGGTTTGCAGTGACGATAATTTAACTTTTCAGTAGAGCCCAACAAAGTCCCGCGCGCATCGGAATGGGCACTCAATGTAGCAAGGATACAAAACTAAATGTTACTGGAGCTTGATTCCAGTCATGGATGGTGGAACGACTGCTTGCACACCACCCCATATGACACCAGGCGGGTAACTGAAGTGCAGCTCTAGCAGACACTCTTATTTAAGTGCTTGGCCCTAACCCTTTAGCAATATGTCCTGAACGCATAAATCAATGTACAGCGATGGTTATGGTACCGTTGGATAGGTCAGAATGTCAGCTTTAAGCTGAGACTACTAACCAGAAAAGCCAAAATCCAAAATTTCAGGCAATACACCCCCCTTAAACAAGCGTTTACTAACAATTCAGGAAACTGCGCAATTATGAAGATTTACTAGAGTCGTAGCACAAAATTTTACTAAAGGCAGAGATAATCTAAAACTAGCTTTAGTAGGTATTATTAGGAATATCTTACCAGGACTCCACTCCACTGTCTACTAATTGGCCAACTAATCTAGACACTGCGTCCCTATGTGCTCCGTGGCGCCTGAACTCATTCCGAACTCGTAATGAACTCGACTCGTACACGTACGGTTCCCATAAAGTGCCATGGAAGCCTTAGTTAATACTTAAGGGTAATATTTTTTACTCAATACTCTTCCATACGTCAACAGGTTTGTAGTGTTTGTCAGACCACTAATTAACTGCCATGTCAGTTAGTCAGACAAATTTTGCTAAATCTGCAATTAACTCAATTTAACTGGTAACTGTCTAAGGCCCTATTAGCAATAAATGGCTAACTTGTCATTCTTCAACCCATGTTTTTGAAACAATTTGTATCGTAATTGAAAAACTTGTTTTGTCTTAAATAATTAAGACAAATCTTGTCTCATTATGTCTTGTTTCAAATCTGTCTTTCTCGTCCTGGTTCATAATTTACCGGGACACAAGTTTTAAAGTCTGGGACATAAATCTTGCCTTGGTTCATACGTTTATTCCGGGACAAATTTTACCTTCTGTCCCATTATTTATTTCCTGGAATTTTCTCATCTCGTTTCGTCTGTCCCGGTTCATTTTGAGAAAATTATTTCGAGATGCAGGAGTCTAATCAGCACTCTACAACCCTCTCAGTCCCTGCCATGAGTGCCATCACTTTCAGTACCTGAACCATAGATTTGTGCAATTTTCTTGAAATATAACATATTACTTCCACAGAACTAAAAAAGTAGTTGCACAATGATGCAAGACCCACACAGGTTTCATAGTGAGCTCACAACCTTTGTTTCACTTCAGTCTGTTGAGTATGGCACAACATAGGTAGAGGATGCCATTATTCTGCCCAAAAGACACCAAGGCACCATCTGTTTAGACAGTGGATGCCAATGTTTGCAGTGAACTGCAAACAGATGGTGAGGACACCTAAATTGATTGCACATGGTCTGGCAGGTGCAGCGTGGGTGCCAGAAGTTTATTTTGGGATGTATGCCTGTACGCCAGAGAAGAAAGTTGTTGTATGCTTGCTCAAAAAACAAAAGTGAAACTCTTATTGATGACTGATGATCATCACTGATGCGTATGCTTGCGAACAATAACACATGCTCTTGTGCGATCAATGCAACTGATGCTCAAGGATTGGCATAGACACCCGTGCTTTACAATCAATGCAGCCAATGCCTGATGATCAACACTTACGCAAGCATGGAAAAGGCCGCAACTAGAGGTTTTCTCCCATTTCCGGAACTGTGAGATTTCCACCAGATGAATGGCCTCCTGTCTAATTGTTGACAAAAGTGGATGAGCGGGCCATGAGATTCCAAATGTATTGAAATATTGTCACGTTGTAGCCACAAGATTTCAGAAACCAGTAGGAAAATCCCAATCCTGCACTTACTCAAGCACTGTAAGATCAATGTAGTTGATGCCTGATGATCGACATGGATGTTTGCATTTTACGATTGATGTGGCCAATGCCCAATGATCGATTCTGACACTCGTGCTTTGCGATCAATGTATCCGATGCCTGATGATCAACACTTACACACCCACTTTACGACCAATGTCATTGATGCCTGATGATTGACATGGATGCATGCATTTTACGATTGATGTGGCTGATGCCCTATGATGTACTTATAATGGAAAGCCATTTTTGAGCCACAAACTCATTTGTCTAGCCTCTAATTTATTTGCCTAGCCATGTGCATGATGATGTAATTTGCATGAAACTATGTGCATGATGATGTAATTTTTTACAATTTTGTTTAAATAATGCAAAAATAATACACTCTGACATGACAGCAACTAAGAGATCATCAATAATCCAATTTGATAGCAACCACTGTACAGCAATCCCTTGATTAACGCGGTTAATAAATCCCCGAGTTTTACCGTGTTAAGCAAAACCGCGCTAATCAAACTTAAGAATATATGGGAATAATTATAAAGAATCCTCAAAAATAGCAAAGGAAAGGAAAATTATGTAGTTTGATAAAAGTGAGCAGTAGATATGGCAGCGATCTTGACCAGTTGAAGGCTAACGAGTAACTAGCCCTTTACGCACTGAATTATGTTTCGAACGTGAAAAAACAATCTGAATTACTTTTCAGATCACGCGCAGTCTTTGTGTTAAACTGGCAGTAGCGACGCGCCTACTCCATCGAACGTCGTTCGAACGAGTTCACAACATGTGACGCTACCGTCACACTCGCGGCTAGACTCCAAACATGTAATTACTCTCGGTAGAAGCTTTTATTTTCTGTGTGACGAATTCGTCACACCAGGGCTTAAAGGGCTAGAGCACCGGCATGGCGCACTTATCGGCGAACGTTGCCGAACTCGATCATTCGAGTTATGAACGAGACAAGGCGCGGTTAAACCGACTCTGTAGTCAGCATGAGTTCCTACGGAACGGGACCTTATTTAAAGAATTATTGGCTGAAATTCATGAAGTAACAACATTTGGCGAATTTTTCCAAAAGTCGTAACAACATAAGATCTAATAAGCAAAAAGTAACACTTTTGTTACAAACGTAACACCTCCGGCTAGAGGCGGGAAAATGATGCGTTGTGAAAACAAGTTGCGCTAATCAAAACTGGCACCGCGTAGATTAAGGGTAGGTCGCAAATTTTTTTTCCGCGTTAATCAAAACCGCGGTATTCAAAACCGTGCTAATCAAGGGATTGCTGTACTGGATATTTTGGTAGGAGTGTATCAGTGCTGTGCAGAAGTTCACACTTTCATGGAATGCCACCTTTGAAAACCACTCTTTTTATGATTGAACTAAAATACCTGAATTTGGAGCTGAAAGATTTCATTCCCACAAAAATGATTTGGCCATGGCCAATGGTACAATTAGGGCCATGGTACTTTAGAAAACAGAAATTTTTAACATACTATATATGATATACCATCAAACGGGGTAAAAAGGGATGGTTTTGAGCATTTTTTGTTAATAACTTCTTACCAAAAACATTTCACTAACAAGTTTAGGCTCATTTTATAGCTCTTTGCGAGGGCTATCAAATGGCATCTTAAAAAATTTCATATATGCTATGTGTAAGGTGCCAGACTCAATATAAAAGGCTCCTAAATTAATCTGGAAATGGGGTAAAAGGGGACACTTGAAATAAAACTTAATTTTAAAGTATTTTAATCATGCAGAGTGTACTCACCTATTACCAGCAGTACTCCAAAGTCCTCCTTTTCCTTTTAGATGTAATGTAAAGACAAGGAGCTCAACAAACTTCTTTAGGGAGTGACCATTGCATTGAGTGACCTGGATGTTAGGAGTTCTGCACCAAGAAAACTTTATTTAAATTGAAATTTTTGCTTAAATTTAAAATTTAAGCAAAAATCTTTGTGATTAACCCATATTTATCTTAACTGTGGCCTTTGCTAACAGAGGATCTGCTGTAAATGTGTTTTAGGGTTGTCCGAAATTACCCCGGGGGTTGTCCCTAATTACTCCAGAGGGTTTCCCTTATTACCCCGTCGCATGGAAATGGCTGCACTTTTTTTTTTGGAATGAGATAGGCAAATTCCAATTACGTTTTCAAACCGACACCTGTGTGCAACTTTTATGTAAGTAAAATTTTTTAATACGGCAAATATATTTTTTTTTTTGCTCCAGACCTTAGCAGAGGTACTTTTCCAAAATCGCACTTTTCACACTTTTTCAGCGATTTTTTAGAGATAGTAAACGTTTTATTTCTTGACTAGCTTAATACATAATGGATAGATAAAATGTTGAAGTTTAAGCCACTATTTTTAGTTTTGCAATATTTTGATTAGTTTAGCTGCTACAACATTTCTACGAAATGTGGGACGTGCATCCCGATTTACCCCGCCTGTCCCTTTTTACCCCATTTGATGGTAACCTTTCAACAATCAAAAATAATTCCTCAAATAAATCAAGTTTTCAATTTTCAAAAATCAACCCCAAAAATTAAAAAAAGTACTAATAATTATGTATTTTTTCAATATAATGATTTTATAAGAACTTTTTGCATCACTTTACATAGGTTTTGTAGTATATTTTATGCATGTCTATTTGAATAGATATACGTAGATGCTATCAAAGTATTATATTGTTAATAATTTTTTTATTCCTTATCTCTATAGTTTGACTTGGCTGTTAACATTTATAACTATAATACAAGAATATTCTGAAAAGTTACAAATTTTTGAGCAAAGTTTGAAGCAGACTTCATACATTTTTCAAATCTTGCTGATTGTCTTATGGGGGAGAGTTCATCCAAGATGGCTGCTCCTGTCATCCTTAATGCTACTGCCAAGCACTCAGCCACTGTGAGTATTCAATAGAATTCTTGGTACCCATGGTACCCTTATTAGTTGTCTCTAATGTCTTTCATTATTTTTGCTTGGGGAAAGTAGCTTATCTTATCTAATATCATATGTTGTTGTAATTGTCCATCCTGGTAATGGCAACTACGTAAAGGAGGGGTGATAGGTCAGTTTTTACAAGCTCCAATGCCACTGGTATTTCCACAACCATCAATGGCTCACTGACCTGCCAGAATTATTTTTGCATTACTAACACCTTGGACTAGCCAGGTACTATACCTACTCATTTATCAACCAGAATTTGATGAATGGCTGAGTTGACCATGAGCTAAGCTTCCCAGATGAAGTTGTCTTCATTGGGAATCAAACCTGGGTTGATATCTTATCAACTTGCTTATGTGATGTTTACAAACTTTATCTAGGTTTTCAATTGTAACTGAACTTGATTTTGCAGTTAAATAATGCACTAATTAGAAAATCTAACCGTTTTTGCTATTTCTTCTTCATAATTCATGAAATAATTCTAAAACTGCAGCTGGCAATATTGGTAGGGATATATTTACAAATTGAAACAGAGGCTAGATCATTTATTTGCCTTGTTTTTCAGATAATCTTCCTGCATGGCCTTGGAGACACTGGGTAAGCTCCAACACGTCTTCAAAATACCAATTAACTCCTCTTTAAAGTAACCATTACATTGAATTGCTCAAGAAATTCAATTGTGAATTTTTGTTCCTAGATGAGTCTTGATGATGTTAGACCACATTCACTAGTATTTGAAGTTTGACGTCCTTTCTTTTTAGGAATTTTACCGTAATGCAAGGACAGCCCAATTTCATTTTTGTCTATCTTTTTATGAATGGTTATGATTTAGCTCCATTTAATCATACTGCTCCAATACTTGATATGTTTATTTACCCTTTTAAGCAAGAGCCTGTCTATATTTACCTTAAAGATGTGACGTTCCCTGCACGTTCAGTTTCTTATTAAGCTCCTTCTTATGTAATGCCAATTCTATGTTAGGGGAACACCGCACCACGGAAAATGTTGATAAAGAAGGAATATATTAACATAATTAATAATAATTAATTCCTCATCTAACAAGTGGCCAATAACCATGTAGGAAAAATTTTCAATAAGAAATTTGAATTGATAGATTGTATCTTGTTTCAGATTGATATTGGTTTCAGATAAATACCGTTTATATATTTTTCATATATTTATCTGAATTCATCCGTTATCCTGTACATCTATCACAGTACGTACCCATTAGTTTTTATTGCTAATTAGATATAGGTACCTTCGCAAATATAGTGGTGAGAGCTTATTTAGTTTAAGATAAGATAACTGCTTATCTCATACTTAGTCTGAGAACTGCTAGCAGAGCTCACCCTCAATTACCTTTTACCCCAAGGTAAAGAGCAGAATTATATTACTAATATTACTTTCTGAGTATTTTTCATTATTATTTATGCAACCCGCCAAACTTCATCATCTTTACAAAATGAAAAATAAAACTTTGCTCATAAATTTAAATATTTAATGAAAAATAAACTGTTTAAATTAGTGATGTATGTCATATGTAAAATGTTATTATGGTACACAATTAGTAATATTGGTTCCAGACAATGTAAATGCAGCCTGTTCAGGGATCTCACAAATGATAAAGGGTGAAAATAGAGGCCAAGTTTTTTGATAAAGTTAGCTTTTGAAACCATCAGTGATTGTCAATTAGTTAGGAGTTAGGAACTCCTAACTAATTTTAATCATAAAACTTTGGTTTCTGGTGTGATTAAAGCTGGCATAATCTGAAATTTTATGGTTTAAATTAAATTTTTAATTACAGACATGGCTGGGCGAGTGCCATGGGAGAAGTCAGCATGCCACACATCAAAGTCATCTGTCCAACTGCGTAAGAAAAATTATATTTCCTTGAATCAATTATATTGACTATAGGTTTGGTGCTGGACTATGACTTGCTGATATAACAATGTAACTTATGAATAGTGCTTATCATATTTTTGTCATATATATCATATTATTGTCATATTAAATAGTACCTACCTATAAATTGTCATACTACGGTAGTACTGAAGAATAGCAGAGCTTTAGATCTTATTTCTGATTTAGCCTCTCTATACTCCTGACAGGCTTATTTTATATCCCTGTTAGTGAGTACCTAGAGTTTATATTTATGTAATGCTTATTTCCCCTAATATATATATATATATTCTGCAAAATTTGAAAGTTGATCATTTTTCTTGAAGCCTGTTGAAACAATTTAATTTTGTATGCCTCTCTGAGAAACAAGTCTCATGGCATTTGAGAGGGCATGATTTTGAGTGGTATATATGCTGTCGTTTATTAGGACATAAAAACAATCATTTTGAGGCAGTGCAGTACTACTTGCTCCCTGGATTAACCTCTTCTTCATGACATCTTGTTATGACCTGAGATCCTTCAAAATTTAATAAAAACATCTAAATGACACATGAAAAACTTATCTTGTGTTAAAAAAGTGAAAAAAACTCTTGCATTATAATCTCCATATATAGATACCTATTATCATCATGATCAGATTTTTCATTTACTCATAAATTCATTTTAATTACATTGTTGCAAGAAATTTACTATGCCATTAATAGCTTTCCATTTCACTTCATAACTTCATAATGATAAGTAAAGGAGTGATCTCCACATAGGATTGGATTAGACTAGGCAATTAATTTGTTTGTGATTGGGCAGTCCATTGATGCCAGTGAAGCTGAATATTCAGTGTCACCTTATTACTTCATAATGATAAGGAAAGAAGTTATCTCCACAAAGAATTAGATTAGACTAGACAGAGAATTTGACTGCTTGGGCAGCCCTGTGATGCCGGTGACGCTGAACGCTGGCTTCAAGATGCCTTCTTGGTTCGATCTGACGTCTCTGGAGTTGGATGGACCGGAAGATACTCAGGGCATCAAGGCTGCTCGGGACAAAATCCACCAGCTTATTTCTCAGGAGGTTAGGATTTGTGCGAAAACAAATGCGAATCTAAATTTCATTTTTGCACATTTATTTTCATCTGATCGCTGATTGATTTATGAAGCGTAGGTTGTGGTATTAGTACAAAAATATACTTGGGTTTGTTCGGTTGCCCTAGAGATACTTGTAATATAACAATTTATCTGAAATTAGGCTTTGAAATTATGATTTTTATAATTGCATTTGCAAAATTTATACATCAGGTATATATGTGGTCGTTTCCTGATATTTTACAGTATATAAATATTTTTTTGATTTTCTGCATTTGTATAATTTAGCCTCATATCTAGTACTAGTATATCTTGCACCCTGACACTTTCGCCTAAAGCTGCAACGTATTTGAAGTGCTTGGGTCTCTTTTCAAAGAAATTATATCAGGTTATATTTAAAAAAAAGCCATAAATGTAAGTAAACTCTCATTTTCTTGATTGCTCCTCTAAAAATAGAATTTAAGTTGTACACAATTCTCCTATCTTGTTTAATCCCCAAATAATCAGTTCAGAACTTCTAGTGTAAATACTAAGTGAATACAGAAGTGTGGCATGAATGAACTTCCATCATTCTCAAACCTAATAATTATGCCAGGTTCAGAGCGGCATCCCATCGTCGCGCATTATGCTGGGAGGTTTCAGTCAGGGCGGGGCGCTCTCTCTGTACTCTGCCTTCACCCACAAGGAGCCTCTGGCTGGCGTTATTGCGCTCTCCTGCTGGCTGCCGCTCAGGGCAGAGTTTCCTCAAGTGAGCGATAATACAGACCATGTTTTAATTCTATTTCAATGGATACTTAACCTTTAATTTGTCTATGCACTGTATTTACTTTTCTCATAGGGACCTAGCACACACAAACGTTGTTTTAATTATTTCCCTAAGGATACATCAAAAATCAATGCAAGACACTCGTTGCATTTATTTTTCTTGTTACTGCCTTATGGCGGGCAGAAGCTATTAATGGTCCCTTTATTCTCAGCCTTAATATTCTAAATTAAGTTGCATTTTACAAAAAATTGATCGAATTAAAAGTTAATAAAACTGAAGTATTTCAGACCAACGGTCTGATTCTCTATCAAAATAAAATTAGTGAATAATATCGCACTCCAGGTTAAAGGGTGAATGCACTTGGAACTGACCAGCGATGTGAAAATTGACATCCTAGCAACAGTGTTGTGGCGCATACGCTACCGCAATTTTCTGCGCTGCTACCACACCACAAAGCCAATGTAATCGATAGTTTTGGTAGTACGCGAAGGATAATGAATACACTGATTTTTTCGAGGAGCATAAACTTGAGAACTTTCACATGTGACCGCCTGTCTCTTACTAACCCCTACCCTACTTCCAACTGTTACAACAAGAACCATCTGTCCAGTTCACTCTGAACTAATTATTCAATACAGCTATGGTAAATATATATACAGAATGAAACGCAAAGTAAGTAATGAAAACAGAAAAGCGATTCTATCATGTTGTGGCGGTTACAACAACAGAAATCCTCATAACATCCTTGTTCCTCAGGCGGCTGTAGGAAACCTTGACACCCACATTCTGCAGTGTCATGGCGACTGCGATCCTGTGGTGCCCTACAAGTTTGGTCAGATCTCTTCTTGTCTCGTCAAGAAATTTGCTCCCAACATCGACTTCAAGACTATTCCTGGCATGATGCATTCTAGCTCTGAAACTGTCAGTTTCTATATACCTGCATTCTATATCTAAATAAATATATAAAGTAATATATGCCGTTCTAGCTCTGAAACTGTCAGTATCTCCATGCCTGCATTCTTGATCTAAATAAATATGGGTAAAAAAAAAAATTCACGAAAAAAATATCTTCATGGCTTTAATTAAATTTAGTTCGTCTTGTGACCAAAGCAGTATGATATTTAATTTAGATGCGCTTTTATGAACACATGGTAACTCTAAAATTATTGTATCCCATTGAAGGCTGATTTAGAATAGCAGGAGTTGCACCAAATGTGCGAAATTTTTGAAAAATTTGCACTGTGTGCGTTAATACTGATAATCAGTTGCTTCTTTGGGATTTTCTGACTTATTTTACATTTTTGTAGGACAAGATCAATATATTGAATAAATATATTTTAACATGAATTACTGAACTATTAGTTCTTATTTTAAAACAGGTTTAGGATTTTGCCTATAATGCTGTTATTTATTATTATTGTTTGTGCAGGAAATGAAATCAGTGAAGGAATTCATCAGAGCGCGTTTGCCGGATTTATAAGAACTGCTCTGCTAACATCAAGCAGTTGACCAGCGCCATCTTTTGGGAGGCTTGTCTTGTCTGCTGAGGGCCTCTCTGTTGTCTGCTGAGGGCCTCTCTGTTGTCTGCTGAGGGCCTCTCTGTTGTCTGCTGAGGGCCTCTCTGTTATCCACTGATAGCCTCTCTCTGTTGTCTGGCTTTTTCTACTGCAAACTCCCCTTCATTATCCTCACCCCGGCCAGTAAACTGTTTGATGTCCCTTAAAACTACCTCTCTTAGAACCTGCTCAAACTTTTATCCGTGATCACAGATACAATGTTCTTATGCTATATTTCATGCCAAACTAATTGCCTGTTGTATTTAATTTTTCCGCAATTTCACCGACCCTGAGCGAATATTCCACTCGCAGACTGGCATTTATTTCAAGGATGTTCCCCTCAAGCTTTCTTCAGGATTATCAAAAGCCTCAATTACATGGAATAATATTTAATTTGAATGCAGTGTTCCTGCTCTCCGTTTGTTGTTGACAACGCAGTGACCTCTGAATTTAGGTGATTTTTATTGTGGTTATGTAGAGTTAATTTTTGCTTCAAGGATCATTACAGCTTTTGAGTTATCGAACGTGCGAATTGTTCAGGTGTTGTCTCTTTAAAGTTTGGAGAACTTCAGTAATCATGCTGTACAAAGTTTGTAGTCTGAAATTTCATACAATATTTCGCCTACTGCCACTTATTTCGTTTGTTGCAAGTAAAAACATTTGCTTCATGTTATAAATGTTCTGCTTGTAATTACATAAATTCCCAGAACTGCCAGTTATTTCATTAACTATAAGTATGCATTGGCTGCAAGTAACAACCTGCATTTGCAGTTTTTACATGATCTGTAAGTAGCCACTTGTACCTCGAATTATGATTTACTTCTGCCTCGACCTGGACAACGCTCACCACTCAGACATGCGTTTGGTTACAATCTTTATCTCAATATATCACGTTTTTCAGTGTAACTATACCATCTCGAATTATTTTGATCTATAAAAGTTCTGATCTCACTATATCGTGAATCTCAATCCGCATAAGTTTCAGTAATGTGAAAATTTTCCGCGATTTTCAGTCTATGTGAAAATTTACCGCGATATCGAGCTGTAACATGAACTACAACTGCAAGTAATTGAAGGCTATGTGCATATCTTACAAGAACTATTATAAAGCGTTACAAAATCTATTTACAAGTGTTGCAAGAACTATGTAACGCTTGGCTTCCTGTCTGGACCTATAACGGTCAAATGATTTGGCCCCGCAATTAACGTGTATTGATAGTGCCAATTTTGTTGCCTAGGTAAGTTATTTGAAACACTTAACATCATTTGGTCGAAAACTATTCGAAACTTGAAGACAAACATTTGCCTTTAAAATATTTACCATTCACGAATTGGATGATGATGTTGTGTTATAACGTATTGGTAGAATTTTTATGGCTTTTTCTCATCACGCAACGCGATGAAATTTTTTTACAATAAAATGTCGATGTCATGAGCTAGTGACTGCGCACAGGAATGAACTATCGCCGTAATCTCGTTTCCTTGACTGTCTTCACTCCGTGGTCATTAATTGGTTTTGATATTTAATTGAGCGATTGATAATTGAGTCGTTAATTACCTAGTTAATACTTGATATCTTGAGTCATTTATATTATTCTTTGGCGATAATTTTTCCAAGCTTCAAGTTTGTGTTTGATTTGCTTGATTTTTAAGCCCAATTCTGAGTTGAGTATGTGGGTAATTTTGGTAATAGTGTTCTTTAAAGATCTGCGATTGAATCATAGATTTTATTAAAAAAATTTTTAAACACAATTTTATAATTTTCCATCGTTGCTAGTAAATATTTGATTTTTCATTTGTAAGACTGGCTTAAGTCCTGCGTTTTGCTATTGTTTTATATCCTATATTCTGAATTAACTAGTAGAGAACTGGAAGTATATTTTTGCAGTAGAGTACAGAGTAATTCTAAATGAAATACCTACCTAATTTAATAAATTCGTATTTATTTAAGTATCAATTCATTGATACTTGAATTCAAATTCTTTTTGAATTTATACTTGAGTAAATACGAATTTATTAAATTCGAATGTATTAATTTCGTAAGTATCAATTCATTGATACTTGAATTCAAATTCTTCTTGAATTTATACTTGAATAAATACGAATTTATTAAATTGGGTCCATCATTAAGAATAATCCTGTATTTTTTGTCGATTTAGAGCATTTTGAAGCAATAATATATGTACTAAGTCTTGACGATTAGCTTTTATTGATACTGACATTTCCCGTTAAGAAATACACTAAAGTAGTTTTTTTAGTTGCCAACAACCTCTTTTTTTAGAATAACTTATGTTCTATTATTGAAATTTCGAATAACTATTCAGAGGTAAAATTTCTCGAACTCCTCTTCAGTCTCTCGTGCGGCGACACACTTGTCTTGAAAACAGCCAGTTCTTCGAGTGTTTTCGTTGCTGTTCTCCTATCCTTACCCGCGTCCTTGTTGAAAAGTTCCATTAATAACAATTGATAGATGTGCATTTATCATATACTTTTAACTCCTCTTATGAAGCTGTCACGTCAGCCATAAGGCTCAGTGTCGCTTTTTTTCGTCTCTCAGAGATATTTATTCTTCATTTATTCTTCACGCCAGCCTGCGCACTCGACGCCTGGGGCTGTACTATCAAAAATACTTAAAAGTTCGTACCTCCGTCAGCCAATCACCAATGGGTTCTAGTGGTAAACCCACCAATGGCATACGAGAAATCAGCCGCTACGTGTATATAGGGCGCTACATGTACGTTGTCTGCTACGTTTACTTACGTAAGTCTTGATAGTACGGCCTCTGAACCCTTCCACCACTTGGTGGTGGCGAACAACTCTTTTATGTAGCATTTGTATGAATAGTATTCTGTATGAAGTAGTCTTAATGGAAGCACCAATAAACTAGGTTAGCTACTACCTCTACCATAATTCGTATTTCTAGATATCGTGTGTTGGCAATATGGTTGGTTGAAAGTTGTGTAGATTTGTGTTTATTTTTCTTAGCCTAAGACTGACCGGATCAGTTGAATAGCAATAGTGCAAATCCTGCTCTGGTTCGTTGCTTCTTTTCACTCGTTCAAATATTCTGCCAGTTGATCGGGCAGGTCGCAAAATTCGATGTTAATTACGACACATGAAATAACGAAATGTTCCAGCTATCGTTGGTTTGCAAATGTTTTGCACTCGTTTTCCGTACACTTCGATTCTATATGCAATGCTTTGACGAATGTAATTGAAAACGCAATCCTGTGAAATTAGAATGATTTAAAAAATTAAAACATTCCTTGTCTGCTCTGCAGAGGCTTTAGCCACTAAAGCCGCTGTTCAAACCTAAGATGTGAATCTCCAGAAGCTTTCCAGTGTATCAAGAGAGATTTAATCAGTGTTGTCTTACTTGAAATTTACATGTTTTATCGTATTCTTCAACTGAACTGTATCTCTCTGTAGGTTGCAACTGGCTCCATCACGACAACCTTATATGGTTTCGCTGTAGCCGTACAATTTATCAGTTTTCCATTGTTTCATTCAAACCTTGAAAACCTGCAGTGTATGGTTGACTTTTGATAACTCGGTTGTAATGCCTTGACTGACCGATAAGTTTAAATTATTTGGGGAAATGTAAGGAATACTAGTTTAGCTATGCCACTGTGGAGAATTAGTTCTGTGTTTTTTACCTTGTCGTATAGTTAGTATTCCTGTACACTGTAATTATCTTATGCCTGCTTCATTGTTGCTTGTGTTATTAACAATTTTATTTCCAGTAGCGATCGGGAAATGGTTTTTATAATAGTCAGTACAATTTTATCCCATGCTTTTTTATTCGACGTTTAACGCTATTATTTGCTCCTTGAATGTAGTGAGTACGAGAATGACATTACTTCAAACTATTTATTCTCTGGCTCGTCTATGCGCATTATAGACTTTGTGATTAACAACTTAACAAAGAATAAAGATTAATTTACAAAGCGTGTGTATCGCTTATGATTCATCACATAGTATCGTTTATTTTTGTGTTCAGCTTTCCTACGTGTATTTTAAGAGCAGTTTAAAAAGGTCCGGAAAATTACTGGGGAGCAACGTGTATTCTGGATGCATGTAGAACGTCTTCATGTACCGGGACTACCGTGCATCATAGAGGCATCTAGGACCACTCCATGTACCGGGACTACCGTACATCATAGAGGCATCTAGGACCACTCCATGTACCGGGACTGTCTTGCATCATAGAGGCATCTAGGACCACTCCATGTACCGCAACTACCGTGCATAATAGAGGCATCTAGGACCACTCCATGTACCGGGACTACCGTGCATAATATAGGTTTCTATAAATTCAAGTTGTAACCTACTTTTGAAGAACAAGGGCTCGTCAATTAGCAAGAGATTTTAGTTAACTAGAGCTTTTAGATATTTTACCTTGCTATTGTAGTTATCATAACAGCATGGTAAGAAATCCTACTGAGTGAGCAGTATAATAGCCGTGTTCAGTGGCTGCCTGAGCGCCATACTAAATTCTCCACTCCTTTGTTCGTTTTCTTTCTCCCCAATAACTAAGGAATTCTTTCTCCCCAATAACTAAGGAATTCTTTCTCCCCAATAACTAAGGAAATTTCCATGGAATTTATTCCCTGTGTACATCGATACCAGGAAAAATCTCAACTTCGAACAAGGAAACAGTAACTTAATGCCATATTTAAATATAACCTTGCCGTGTATAGACGACTTCTTGTCATACGTTAAATTTATATAGAATCTTGCATTCTTTTCATCAAATGTGGAGATATTGGTAATTTTTTGTGATTATGTGATAATCTAGATGTTGTTTGGAATTTTGAATACATTTGAACCTTACCTTGATAGAGGGAATCTTTACCTACCGCCTGAGACTAGGTGCTGCTCCTATTAATGACTTGAGTTTAATGGTATAAATTTTCTGATGCGAATAATTCAGATTTCATTTGTGTGCAGCTGGCAACACAATGATCACATTTGTCATGCTTGTCTCTCTAGACTGTCTTCTCTTCTACAAAACGTATTAACTTACCCAAAATCAATCCAAGGTACCTCAAGCTTCATCAATGTGCGACTGGATGAAATGATATGTTTCGTTTTATGTCTTAAAAATAAGAATGTAATAATACAGTACGAAGTGAACTGATAGGCATAAAACGATAAAGCATATCGACGTGTGCGTTTTGGCTTAATTTACGGGTTGAAAATATTACAATCAAAATTTAAAAAAAAAACGAGATATGGTGCAATATTGTTTGAACGCTAAACAAGTATTGCGCAGTAAGGTTGAACGCTAAACATAATATTGACGGGGAACTATCATTACGGTCATGATGTTGACCTTAACTTTCAATTCTAGTACTATACTGTGATCGCACAATTATTCCTGAAATATATTACAACTGAATAGGAAGCTATCACCCAAAAGAAACATGTGCTGCCAACAGCTACAACACATGACATATAAATTAATTTTAAGAAAGAAGTCGGGAAAAGAAAAAGTTTCGGGTAAAGTCAAGTTTTATTTTCAGAGGTTTTTGTGCAATGCTCCAGCTCATGTGTAAAAAAATATAACTCAGTACTCACTGCAGTGAGTGACACTGCATTTTCTCGTGGACGAAAACGTGAAATCACGGACGGACGGACGGACATGACGAGCACAATAGCGCTTTTTTTTTATATATGAGAAAATGCGCTAAAAAGACACGAGTAGAATGGATGAGTTTGCGTCAATAACAATACTTTTAAATTACGCAAATTTCTTAAATAATGACTTTGCATACTTTTTCATTTGTACGGCTACTTGGTTAAGAAACATTTTGAGTTGAATTCAACTCTACACCTACCATCATAAGTATCATGGGCCAAACTCTTGAATAAAATTATACGTTCAATTAAAATAAATAAGAGCCGTAAGATTGATATAATTATGATGTTATTAACTTTTACAACACTTCTCTTTAACTTCACTTCTTGTTGTTTGTTTGTCTGCCACAAATCTTATAATCGAAATTTAACACACTTCTACTTATCCAATCTATCTGAAATTTTGCACACTTGCGTAAAGTTAGAGACAATGCATGAATCAATTGACAGAATAAATAATTTTGAAAATTAATAAAATTTTATTTATGAAATTAAACAAATTGAAAAAAAATTGTCTGCTACATACATCTTATAAACGATTTTAACACACTTCTACCTGTCCAATCGATCTGAA